GACACTCCGTAAGTTAACATCCCTAAACGGTGGACAGCTAAAAATCCCTCGTCCTATAGATGGCTACTTTAACCTGACTTCTTATGATCTTACCCAGGACCAACGAGACCTCTTAAATCTTGGTCTAAATTGTCAATTCTTATCTAAACCAAAGATGCATCAAAAACGCCTGGAAATCGAAATGCTTCTGGACGATATCCATAAGCTAGAAGACAACAAAAAAGTCATCACCACTGACACACTTCAAGCTGAACTACTTGCAGAAGCAGGGAAAAAACGAGGAACATATTCATCTACAATCTTAACCCCACGACTCAAAGAAGCAGCGAAACAACTAAAAAATCTGAAAGACGTAACAATAAGAAAAGCCGACAAAACAGCAGCATATGTATTGATTCCTACCCATGAATACATGAACAAAATTAGCGACATCTTAAGTGACGACTCCAAATTTCAACGAATCACGAGGAACCCCGTAGAAGACCTTAAGCGGAAAGTAAACAAAACAATTACAGCAATCAACGCAAAGAAAGGTAGTGTGCATTTCAATAAACTTCAAGGCGACTATGGCTTAGGATATGCCTACGGCAATGTTAAGACGCATAAACCAGGTAACCCACTACGCCCTATAATCAGCCAAATACCAACCCCAACTTATCACCTGGCAAAGAAACTCAATGAACTCCTAACTCCATACACTCCAAGTAAGTTTAGTCTACAATCATCAGCAGATTTCCTAGAATTGATCAAATCTACCCAGCCCGATGGAATCATCGCTTCCCTGGACGTTGAATCCCTTTTTACCAACGTCCCAGTCGACACAACCATAGGAATGATACTGGACAGAGTATACAGAGACGAGAGCACCCCCAAATTAGACATACCTGAGCCACACTTGAAAAGTCTTCTCGAAGCATGTACAAAGGAAGCCCCTTTCATCAGTCCACAAGGAGACATGTATTTACAAATAGACGGAGTAGCAATGGGCTCCCCCTTAGGAGTTTTATTTGCTAATTTTTATATGGGAACCATCGAAGATAGGGTCTTCAGTAGCAGACAAAAACCAACTGTATACTGCCGTTATGTAGATGACATATTCGTAATAGTAAAAGACTCAGATGAACTAATTGACCTAAAAAGACACCTAGAGAGAGAGTCAGTACTCCGATTTACACATGAAAATAGTGAAAATAACAGTCTGCCATTCTTGGATGTACTAATAACAAAAACAGGAACCTCTTTAAGCACCAACGTATATACCAAGCCCACCAACATAGGATTATGCCTGAACGGTAGAAGTGAGTGCCCCCAAAGATACAAAGCCAGTGTTCTCAATGCTTATATTCGTCGAGCGCTTACCCACTGCTCTGAATGGAGCAACGTGAGTAGAGAGTTTGAAAGAGTAACTCAGGTATTGGTGAACAACGGATATAGCAACGCGGAAATAAACGCTGCTATAAGAAGACACTTGGACCGTTGGTATAATTCAGAACCCAGAACAGAAACCACAACACCCCCAATAAAATTATATTACAAATCAACCATGCACAGTGAACATATAAAAGAGGAAAGAATAATGAAAGAAATAATCCGTAAAGGAGTAAAAAGCACTACTCCTAACCAAAACATAAACCTGATAATATTCTACAAAAACAAGAAGACTTCCGAACTCCTTATCAAAAACAGCCCGAAGCCGACGGAGAACCCTCTACAGCAGTCAAGCGTTGTATACATGTACACTTGCCCCCACGAAGGATGTAACCTTCAATGTAAGTACATAGGTATGACGTCGACCAAGCTGACGAGGCGTTTGACATGCCATCTTCAATCTGGTGCCCCTAGGAATCACATGAGACAAGCCCATGACATTACTCTAACAAGAGAAATGTTGAACAAGAATACTTGCATAATAGACAAAACCCAAGATTCAAGAAGATTACAAATTCTTGAGGCAATTCACATAAGAATAGAGCGACCTACCATGAACACCCAAATCACGGAACTATTTACTCTACCCACCATGAGAGTAAGGACAAGACAAGAACATATCGATGCCAACACAGAAGACAATGTCCAACATAACAGGCCAATTACACTGGATTAATCTTTGTGTTTAGATAGGAGATGCCTCGTATGGGCCAATAAGCCTTCTGCAGCCCTATGTTTATCCCTTATGTATCCCCCCATGTTTTCACCTTCATTATATTATCACCTGACCTAATGCGAGTATAAAATCAACTAGTATTGTAAGATCTGTTCACTTGAGAATGAACCATGGAGGTTCGAAACGTCGTGCAAATTATACAAATAAGTGTAATCTTATCTCTATAGTAAATCACTTCTTTTCTTCACCTTAAAAGTACGAAAATGAGTTTTGGAGAACTCCTATTTCAAATAAGCCCTGATGCTAAGAAAACAGTTAGAGGGATAGAAGCCCTAAACCAGAAAATAATAAATACAGAATATGCGGTCATATTCAATGAAACATGTTTGAAAGAAAACCTGCTGCCAATATACACCAATATATATATATACATATATATACACACGTTCTTATAACTCTTGGGTCAATTTACCAATACACATATTTTTTGTTTCCCTTTCCACGTGTCCACGTAATTTCAGAGTACCGTATCTGGTAAGGATAGCAACGGTGTACCTGCCCAGCCTGCAGTAGTGTAAACCACGACACAGTAGAGGCAGGTACCCCAAGGCATGTGTTGCACTCTCCCCATTCCCTCTCCCCCCATCACCCAACACAACAACCTCCCCATCACCCATCACAACAAGACCCCATTAAACAATATCGACCACCTGTGTCCTGGAGGGAATATCCAAGACTCGTAGTCCTTCACTCTGCCGTCTGCCCGACTCCAAACTTCCCAGATAGGATGATGATAAATTCTGACCTGGATTTCTTCTCTAGAGGTATGGGAGATACATAATATAATATATATATTTCCCTCTAATTGAAATGTGGTGAAAATGTTGATATTCTTGCGCTAGATAAAACTGAGGTTCCATTCGTAACAACTAATACTCACAATATGGAGATCCCAGGTTCGATTCCAGGCCGGGAAAGAAAAATGACTGTGCAATTTTCCTGTTAATTAGTGCCTCTGTTCACCTAATAATACATAGGTACCCGGGAGTTAGGCAACTGTTGTGGGTGGCATCCTGGGGAGGTAGTGGTGTAACACGGGTTTAGGTTCCTCTCTCTCTTCTTCCTTCTACTCCCTCTACCCGTATTCTTACTTTTATTTCTAAACCAAAGGACTCCAAAACTTTTAACAAAGCCAACTCCACGCCACGTGGTCCTAAGACGATTGACCGACTTAGGATTCTACACCCCGTATGACGTGACCTAAGCTCTGAACAAAACCCTAGAGTCACCTCTGCTGCCACCACCAGACCAGTAATACAAGAGCAATGATCGAGGTCTGGATCGATCACGCTAATTAATCAACCTAGGGGCTTGATCCCCACTATAAACGATGACCTTGAGTGTGGAATAAATTACACGGTAATGATAATTCCGATTCGATGTTAGAATCGGCGCCCAATGCAACTCTGCCTCGTGTGGACCACGTGACCAGGACAAGTATACACATAAAACACATGGAAACAATAAAAATGCAAATTAATAACAAATTTAATTTATTAAAAGAAAACTAAAACAAAATCTAAATATGTTCACTCCCTATTACTTTAACACTCCCTACTTGACCTGAGTGGCAAATGAGAAGACTATTTCTATAATTAACAATAGCAACTATACCTTGGGCGACCAGCTGGATGTCTTGGCTGGTCTAGGGGAGAGGTAAGATGTTTGACCTCTCCTAGCTGCTTCCGTGACCACACTGATTTGTCCTCGTCTGGCCTAGCCCAGACTAGAACCTTGTATCCTTCCGCCTAGTCAAAGTTTTACCAAGTTACTAGCCAGGTTTAAGTTATAACAATTAAACTCTGTTGTACTTAATTGATCCAGACTGGTTGAATTATTTTACTTTAATTAGATTACACAAACATCTAACGGCAGAGCTGTTCCCGATCACAAAAATGGTTATTAAAACTTTGAGAAATATTAGACATGTCAACCCTGCTGACCTATGACCGCCGGTCACTCCGCTTTAGAAGTTAGATCTGATTCGTGACGTCACTGATGGTGACTTAAACTCAATAATTAGAATACTCTTGATATTGTATCCGGTACTATTATACAATACAATTTTAATGCAAAATGAATAAAGGCTAATTTTCTCTAAATTACTGAATACTATAGGATGAGTCATTATACGCACCTTTGAACAAAGCGTCGGTTATTTCCACCGCGAATTCCCCTGGGGGTCAGGTCACCATGCGGCTCAGCTTCCCATTCTCTTTTGTCGATAAACCACTCTGGATAATTCTTACAACAGCCTAGTTTGTTACAGTGGTAGGTAGTGTCACCTTGTAGGGAACCTCGATACAACCCTAAAGTGTAATAATAATAATAATAACAATAATAATGCAAATTATTTTGAGGCCATGGAGCGACTTGAAAGTGAAAAATTATTTTCACTGATACATCACGTCATTATGATATCATTGCGATCTGATGCGGGGCGTATGAGTGTGAATACCATTACCGTATAGGCCAGAGTTTGGTCGGGTTGACTGTAAAAACCCTGATTGGGCTCCGGTTCGGGGCCTCCAGAACCCCTCCAAGTGAATTCAGAAGAGTTCCGGGCTGGTCGACTTTGGTACCATCGTGGCCGAGTGGGTTAAGACAGGTGTCTGGCGAGCACCAGAACGCCGAGTCAAGTCACTCCATTACATAATTGTCAAGTGTGAGGTAATATTCAGCACTATATCTTTTACTGGCGCCGCGACGGAGAGGCCCCCTGGCGCCGCGACGGGGAGGCCCCTGGCGCCGCGACGGAGAGGCCCCCTGGCGCCGCGACGGAGAGGCCCCCTGGCGCCGCGACGGGGATGCCCCTGGCGCCGCGACGGGGAGGCCCCTAGCGCCGCGACGGAGAGGCCCCTGGCGCCGAGACGGAGAGGCCCCTGGCGCCGAGACGGAGAGGCCCCTGGCGCCGCGACGGAGAAGCCCCTGGCGCCGAAACGGGGAGGCCCCTGGCGCCGCGACGGGGAGGCCCCTGGCGCCGCGACGGATAGCCCCCTGGCGCCGCGACGGAGAAGCCCTTGGCGCCGAGACGGGGAGGCCACTGGCGCCGCGACGGAGAGCCCCCTGGCGCCGAGACGGGGAGGCCACTGGCGTCGAGACGGGGAGGCCACTGGCGCCGCGACGGGGAGGCCACTGGCGCCGCGACGGGGAGGCTACTGGCGCCGCGACGGAGAGGCCACTGGCGCCGCGACGGGGAAGCCACTGGCGCCGAGACGGGGAGGCCACTGGCGCCGAGACGGGGAGGCCACTGGCGCCGAGACGGGGAGGCCACTGGCGCCGCGACGGGGAGGCTACTGGCGCCGCGACGGGAGGCTACTGGCGCCGCGACGGAGAGGCCACTGGCGCCGCGACGGGGAGGCCCCTGGCGCCGCGACGGAGAGGCCATTGGCGTCGAGACGGGGAGGCCACTGGCGTCGAGACGGGGAGGCCACTGGCGTCGAGACGGGGAGGCCACTGGCGCCGAGACGGGGAGGCCACTGGCGCCGAGACGGAGAGCCCCCTGGCGCCGAGACGGGGAGGCCACTGGCGCCGCGACGGGGAGGCCACTGGCGCCGCGTCGGGGAGGCCACTGGCGCCGCGACGGGGAGGCCACTGGCGCCGCGACGGAGAGGCCATTGGCGCCGCGACGGGGAGGCCCCTGGCGCCGCGACGGGGAGGCCACTGGCGCCGCGACGGGGAGGCCCCTGGCGCCGCGACGGGGAGGCCACTGGCGTCGAGACGGGGAGGCCCCTGGCACCGAGACGGAGAGGCCCCTGGCACCGAGACGGAGAGGCCCCTGGCACCGAGACGGAGAGGCCCCTGGCACCGAGACGGAGAGGCCCCTGGCGCCGCGACGGAGAGGCCCCTGGCGCCGCGACGGAGAGGCCCCTGGCGCCGCGACGGAGAGGCCCCTGGCGCCGCGACGGAGAGGCCCCTGGCGCCGCGACGGAGAGGCCCCTGGCGCCGCGACGGAGAGGCCCCTGGCGCCGCGACGGAGAGGCCCCTGGCGCCGCGACGGAGAGGCCCCTGGCGCCGCGACGGAGAGGCCCCTGGCGCCGCGACGGAGAGGCCCCTGGCGCCGCGACGGAGAGGCCCCTGGCGCCGCGACGGAGAGGCCCCTGGCGCCGCGACGGAGAGGCCCCTGGCGCCGCGACGGAGAGGCCCCTGGCGCCGCGACGGAGAGGCCCCTGGCGCCGCGACGGAGAGGCCCCTGCCGCAAAGACGGAGAGGCCCCTGGCGCAAAGACGGAGAGGCCCCTGGCACCGAGACGGAGAGGCCCCTGGCGCCGCGACAGAGAGGCCCCTGGCGCCGAGACGGAGAGGCCCCTGGCACCGAGACGGAGAGGCCCCTGGCGCCGCGACGGAGAGGCCCCTGGCGCCGAGACGGAGAGGCCCCTGGCGCCGAGACGGAGAGGCCCCTGGCGCCGCGACGCAAAGTTGAGGAAGCTGGCACTGTCAAAAAAGGTGAGGGCATTGCTCCGAAGACAGGACCGTTGGGTTGGGTTATTAAGTAGTTTCACCATTGACCTTTATTCGTGTTGTTGGGGGTTTGGTCCCACCGTAAACATGATGCGCCAGAACATGTTTGCTGTTCGTTAGAGCCGTGTATATTGTTAGCTGAGGTGGGTTTGGTAGGTTTTAAAATCCGTTGGCAAACCGTCTTCTGCGTCCAGCCCCTCCACCTGTTTTGGTTACTTGTGTAAAGGAGGAAATGTAAATGTTTATCTCTCAGAATGTTCGGTAATATGTTTATTGTTTGTGATGTGTATGTATGTATGTATTAACACGATGTACTGAACGGGGTGAGAATAGCTTGAGCTACCTCATCCCTTTGTGTGTATTTTACCTCAATAAACTTATTTCAATTTAAATTTCACCTGTTTTGGTAGTACTTATAGGAAGGATGAGGACCATAGTACATATACTGACGTACAACGCAATTAGAAAATAGAAATCAGTACTATTGATTTTGGACAAACAGGAAAAAGATTTTCTACTTATGTTGCAAAGAAACTAAACTAACGTAACCTAACCTTTCTAGGCCTAATGTGTGTGCTTTACTAGGCCTAGAGATATGTAAGTTTGTTTAGCTTCATTTTTCCGGACTATAAAGTGAATATAGTACAAAGTTTTACTCTCTAATTGCTTAGTACGTCAATGTTTACCTGAATTTACCCGAGAGCCACTAACTAGTGGCCTCGAGGAGGACGGGAAGCCGGCGGCTTGTTGAAGACCCTCCCCCCATATGCCTTGATAGTTTGTACTATGGTGCACATGACAAAAAAGTAGTATATAAACAGGACGGGCTGGTGTGTGTGTGTGTGTGTGTGTGTGTGTGTGTGTGTGTGTGTGTGTGTGTGTGTGTGTGTGTGTGTGTACTCACCTATTTGTGTGTGTTTGTGTGTCTCAACTGTGTGTGTGTGTGTGTGTGTGTGTGTGTGTGTGTGTGTGTGTGCGTGTGTGTGCGTGTGTGCGTGTGTGTGTGTGTGTGTGTGTGCCTTATCATTGTACGTGATATTCTCTACAGTGTGAAGCCAATATACCCACCAAGACTGATATAAATATCCACAGACCCTGAACCACCAATCTCGACGGCTGGAAGACGACCAAGGGCCCCCTGAAGCCAATTCTCGAGACGAGCTAAATCCCTCGGGGTTGATGTGGAGCTCAGCGTTGTCTGTTGGATGTTTGGGGACGCGCCGAGGGGAGCCTGGCCACAATCACCTCGACAACAATCCCCTTTCTCTCCCCCCCCCTCCCCCCTCCTCCCTCCCAGCGTGTCGGAGAATTACGTCAGAATACATCTTCGTAGTCGTGACGTCAGTACTCACCGGGGTGTCGGGGATGCTGCTGGATGGAGGTCGGGTTTCAAGGCCGCGGCGTTGCCAGCAAGTGCCGACCCAGTGACCTTTTCGGCGACGTCTCGAGCTCAAGCGCCACACGCAGGGATGACCACACTCTTTCTGGTGACTGTGTGTGGCGCCAAGGTGCCTCAAGCCACGGAGGATCCTCCTGAAGACTGTCTCTTGGAGATTTACGAAGCTGAGGGCTCTCAGGGGTTGGGGGGGGGGGGTGGAGCACAAGAACTTTGTCACTTTCAGGGGCGGACCTCAAGATTACTTGTGAGGTCTCCTAAGGTAATGTTGGTTTTCAAGCGAACACACAACACGTAAGAGAGCTAAAAAGAGTGCTAGTTTACGGTACAGGAGCACCTACGAAGGTAGTAACATTGGCACACAGAGAACACTTGCTTCAGGTCGGCTTGTTCTACTCTTAAATTTGGCTTACAAAGTCACCGGACTTTGTAATTTGTGCGCGAATCAAAAACTCTTTTTTTATCATCATCCCCGGCTTCTACAGTCTTGAAGATTTTGAACTGCTGAGGTATTCGAGTTGTATACAGCTTCAAACACTTGATTCACTTTAGTTCTAAACCCGCTGGCCTACATCTTGAGCCTTTACTAGGAACTTTCTGGGGAAGGAGGGGGGGGGGGGGAAGAGGTTCTGCCTTATTGTTAACTCCCTCGTTCTCGGAATTCCCTTTACCACTTACTGGCTGCTCTAGACACGACGTTGAGCTCCACTTAGTGACAACACTAAGACGACTGACTGCACTTGGCTAACCTTCTATTATTGACATTTTTGAAAGCCTTTACTGCCCCTGTTTGTGATGCTTTAGCTAGCTCTCTTTTGTTTTGTTTGCGCAGACCGTTAGACTGGTCTAACATGTATGGTGACTGACTAGAGGGCGTCCGACTGGTTCTAACAATCACAGCGTATAAGAGGGATTGGTATTACCTAAGACAGCGTATAAGAGTGACTGTTGTTACCTAAGACAGGTTGGTAAGTCCACATCGGGCTCACCATAGCCCGTGCTACTTGGAACTTTTAGTTCCCAGTAGCTGAATCTATAACAACAACAACAATCTAAGACAGTGTATAACAGTGACTGGTGTTACCTAAGACAGCGTATAAGAGTGACTGGTCGGAAGAATGGTCGACAGGTTGGAAGAATGGTCGACTGGTCTTAGCCAATAGACTGCATGATGACTGGTCGGAGGATCCTGCGACTGGCGCCAATGAGAAAAAAATATTTCAGATGGATTGAGACATTTTGGCAAGTGGTAAGAAATCAACGTCTTCGACGGTGCCTTAGGCCGCGAGGTCGCGTCACTCGCACTTAATTGAGAAACGTTGATTGTGGTAAACTTGGAGATCCTTTGGCTAGTGCTTGTGAGAGATATATCCTTTGATTAAAGCTTGGGAGGGATATATCCTTTGGCTAGTGCTTGTGAGAGATATCCTTTGACTAGTGCTGAGCGATATCCATTGACTAGGTCTTGTGAGAGAGATCCATTGACGACACCTTGTGAGAGATATCTTTTGACTAGTATCTGAGAGAAAGAGAGATATCTCTCTTCACGAATGAACCAGGAACTAAGCTGCATGGACGTTCTTCCGACGATCAATTGACTATCAGGTTCTTAAGACGAGCCTTGATAGTAGGCCTCCATTACGGGCTATTCATACCCGTGCCACTTCTTGGGTGGCTTAATCTCCATCAATCAATCAATCAATCAATCGTAGGCCTCCCACTGCACCAAGACGGGACCACGTACGCGGTCTGGAAGACAGTTGATGGTAACTTAGTGTTCACAACACACACACACGTAGACTACATTTTGGTTATACGATTCTTATTTACACTACCAGTTACTCTAAGCCGAACAAGAGAGGAAGATGAACAGTGATTTGTGGCTTTTCCCTCTCAGCTTGAAGGCCGTCAAATTTACGCCCCAATAGTCATTAGGAAAGTTCTTTGTGAATTCCTCTTAACAGGAAGATTCTTGGAACACTCGACGGCTTCACGATTACAAGTTTGTCTTCTCCTGAGTTGGGCCCGTCGACGCTCTGGTGAACGAGAAGCCGAAGATCGGATTTTGATGTCTTCAGCGGTGCTTGAAGAGGTCGGTGTTTATATAAGACGCCCGTGATTGTGGTCCAGATGGAGGCGTGTAGAGGGCGCGTGTAGAGGGCGCGTACCGATAGAGGAGCGCAACACGTGGTCCTGGGCCCCACGTGCAGCTCGCCCCACAGGTTCCTATCCACGCTTCTCTCTGGGCTAGTCGAACCGCGTCGTCTTAGCGGACACCCCCAAATATATCACCTTCACTTATATATAAACATGGTACCACATATGTCCGCCTTGACCAATCTGGCGCACCTGAAGCCGCCGCACGCCTCATAAACTTCCCACAAAGTCGACCGGAGACACACAAACAGGGAGCCGGTCAAAAGCCACGTGTGTGTGTGCGGGGAGGGAGAGTCACATATGCGGCCCGCGAGGGAGCCGGGAGAGCACGTGTCGGGGCCTGCGACAGGTGTGTGGCCCACTGGCGGGAGCAAGCGACGGCGGGCCGGCCCAGACAGAGATGTGGCGGCGGCGGCAGCGGCCAGCTCTGTGGTGGCGGTGGAGGTGTGTGCGCTCTGCCGGGACTCACCTGGACGACGACCACCACCATCATCCTCCCCAACCACCCCACCCCTAGTACTGTCCCCCAACCATCCCCCCCCACACCCCACCCCCTCCTCGGCCGCCCACTACCCCAGTGCGCAGGTGTCCTGACCCACCTATTACCGCCCCAATCACCTCCCCCTTGCCACCCGCTCTCGCAACCATCACAATCCTGAATCCCTTGTTACGATCTGTAGCCTGGGGGGGGGAGGTGGGAGTAGCCTGGGGGAGGTGGGAGTAGCCTGGGGGAGGTGGGAGTAGCCTGGGGAGGTGGGAGTAGCCTGGGGGAGGGGGAGTGGAGAGTGGCCTGGGGGAGGTGAGAGTAGCCTGGGGGAGGTGGGAGTAGCCTTGAGAGGTGGGAGTAGCCTGGGGGAGGTGACAGTAGCCTGGGGGAGGGCGACAGTAGCCTGGGGGAGGGCGACAGTAGCCTGGGGAGGGCGACAGTAGCCTGGGGGAGGGCGACAGTAGCCTGGGGGAGGGCGACAGTAGCCTGGGGGAGGGCGACAGTAGCCTGGGGGAGGGCGACAGTAGCCTGGGGGAGGGCGACAGTAGCCTGGGGGAGGGCGACAGTAGCCTGGGGAGGGCAACAGTAGCCTGGGGAGGGCGACAGTAGCCTGGGGAGGGCGACAGTAGCCTGGGGGAGGGCGACAGTAGCCTGGGGAGGGCGACAGTAGCCTGGGGAGGGCGACAGTAGCCTGGGGAGGGCGACAGTAGCCTTGGGAGGGCGACAGTAGCCTGGGGAGGGCGACAGTAGCCTGGGGCAGGGCGACAGTAGCCTGGGGAGGGCGACAGTAGCCTGGGGAGGGCGACAGTAGCCTGGGGAGGGCGACAGTAGCCTGGGGAGGGCGACAGTAGCCTGGGGAGGGCGACAGTAGCCTGGGGAGGGCGACAGTAGCCTGGGGAGGGCGACAGTAGCCTGGGGAGGGCGACAGTAGCCTGGGGAGGGCGACAGTAGCCTGGGGAGGGCGACAGTAGCCTGGGGAGGGCGACAGTAGCCTGGGGAGGGCGACAGTAGCCTGGGGAGGGCGACAGTAGCCTGGGGAGGGCGACAGTAGCCTGGGGAGGGCGACAGTAGCCTGGGGAGGGCGACAGTAGCCTGGGGAGGGCGACAGTAGCCTGGGGAGGGCGACAGTAGCCTGGGGAGGGCGACAGTAGCCTAGGGAGGGCGACAGTAGCCTGGGGAGGGCGACAGTAGCCTGGGGAGGGCGACAGTAGCCTGGGGAGGGCGACAGTAGCCTGGGGAGGGCGACAGTAGCCTGGGGAGGGCGACAGTAGCCTGGGGAGGGCGACAGTAGCCTGGGGAGGGCGACAGTAGCCTGGGGAGGGCGACAGTAGCCTGGGGAGGGCGACAGTAGCCTGGGGAGGGCGACAGTAGCCTGGGGAGGGCGACAGTAGCCTGGGGAGGGCGACAGTAGCCTGGGGAAGACGATAGTAGTAGAAATGAGTGTCTGGTGAGCGCTTAAGAACGTGAGAGGAGCGTAAGTGAAAAAGAGCGTGCGGTAAGGGAGAGCTGAGAGCGTGCGGTAAGGGACAGGGAGCGTACAGTGAGCGTGAGAGACGCGTGCGGTGAGCGTGAAAGATGCGTGCGGTGAGCGTGAGAGGAGCGTGCGTTGAGAGGAGTGAGCATGACGGAGCATGACAGAGGAAGATAATCAATATAGAGCGGGAGGTGGAGCACCATCCCGCGGCCTCTCCAAGCCTCACCAACACGGCCACTGCCGACCCCTTGGAGGCTCAAGTTCATGTGTTCTACCTAACATAACGAAGACTCCCTAACCCAGCAACCTGGCAACAACGTAACCACATAGTAAGCCGTTATATGTTAGAACACGGCACTAACGTACAACGAAGTAAAACAAAGTTATATTGTTTATGAGCCGGACTCCCTGGAGCTGGTCCGAGGCTGTCCATCCCAGCGCTAGGGGACGCGACGAGGGAGTACTGAAGAATTCCATTTAGGTATATTAGGTGCTGATCGGTGCCTTCAGCCGAGGGCTAGATGCTAATGCAGATCACATTTCCATGCCCTAGGGAGAGCGGGGATATGTAATTATTGTTTCACTTCCTTCCAAAGTCTACCTGTTGCTTGGTTACACTCATACATCCGCTTGTGGCTGGGTCACTCACAGCATCCGCCTGTGGCTGGCTCTGTGGCATCCGTTCTGTTTTACCTTAACCGTCTTATGCGACTGGATGTTGCAGTTCCAAAGCAACATTCCCCCGCAAGGCATTTTTACTCCCTGTAAACAGTTTACCCAGGTATTATTGCAATAGTTTCCAGTCATCTTGATCATTTTTATCAGTATATTGGCATTATTAGTAACAAAAAAATACATACCAATGTAAACTTTAGGAATAATCAAATGAACCTTTGGGTGCTTTAAGGAAAAGTTTGTTTTTCAGCTGTGAAAATCTGTGGTACATCTGGACTACTGTTTCCAAGCATGAAGGACCTCGCCTTCAAAACAACATAACTACGTTGGAACAAGTTCAACGCAGCGCGACAGATATCACACCAGAGCTAAGTCAACTAAGACTGAAGCACTCGAGATTACACACGAGACATCACAGGGCTCATCTCATCCAGACCTTTTTAAATACATAACAATTAGGAAGATATTAATCCAAACTTTATCAAAAGTGCCAATGTAGCACACACAAGGAGCAACAGCTTCAAGCAGGCGTAATGGTAACACGCTAAGGTAACATGTGTAATGGTAACACGTCCCACGCCTCGTGAGCGATTTGATCTGGGTTCGAATCCTGGCCAGGGAGGATTGATCGAGCGCAAATCCTTAACTGTTTCCCCCCTATGCACCCAGCAGTAATTGGGTACCTTATTGTTAACCGATTAGCGGGACGTATTCCGGGAAAAACCAGTAGGGGCAAGGCTTCCCGTGAGCTATGGGACAGGAAAAGCTCTGAAATTGTAAACAGGAGTCAGACGTCGTTTGCTCCTTTACCCACCAATGCATAAATAAATAATGAAAACGGGGGGTGGGGGAGAGTCTCATAAATAGCGTAAACCTGTGGAAACGCATGCCCATCGAAGCCATAAATGCCAAGGCAGTATAGTTTAAAATTCAGATTTTTTATGAATAATAGGGAGGATATCCTTGACAAATCCCCTGCTGAGGCAATTAGAGATAACGGCCCTCGGATACAGTCAGGTAAATCAAACATGTTCAAATATATCAAGGTCAAACTGGGTAAACCTTTATATACACTAAATATTTTAAATGAAGCTTATGCTCACGTATCCCATAAGAATCTATCTCTTACTGTTGCTGTTCCTATCTCTAATGAAGTATATCGTCCAGTTTAAGAGCATACAACATCGAATGATGATGATTGAATGATGTGGACAAAAATGGCCGAGGAAAATTGAATCATAATTTTGTTCAGGTCAAAGAACATGTAATCTGCTAACCCATCCCTTTCACTTGAAGATCTGTCTGCGACATCAAAACTGAATTCAAAATACAACATTCCATCTATTCAATACTGATCAAAAACAATTAAAAATCAATAAAAATAAAAAATAAAAAAATACAATAAAAAATATTGAATACTTTTGATGTCTGTGACATCAAAAGTTAGTTCAAACTACTTATTTGACTACAAATAGTTCAAACTACAATTTGAATTTCAGACGGTATTCAAATTGTCTTTCTGGTGATCTATTTATTTATACCATGATGATTATCGTAAGAAACAATCCTTGAACCCCCCCCCCCTAAAAAAAGGGCATATTATTCACTATATGTTTATTATTTCTCCGCTTATATATATATATATATATATATATATATATATATATATATATATATATATATATATATATATATATATATATATATATATATATATATATATATATATATATATATATTGGTGCGATATTGGTAACCTTCCAAATTTCTTGCATCTACCTCCCTCAAGGACTTGTCAATGTTCACCCCGAAAAGGTAAGCTTTTCAACACCCCAATATAGATATTCCGGTTAATTCATATTGCCTTATTTCCATCTCGTGTTCTTAAATGTTCTTATTTTCTCCACTTCGTCCGTGTTTGCTTGTACGTGTACGTATTGGCTCTGCCTTAAGAATAAATTGAAAAGGACGGGAATAAAATTTTAAAAAATAAAAATAAAAAGTCTAGAGTTTGGTGAGGCGGCATTCACACACGTTTGAGTGACAGTGTCAGAACAATAGGTACAGCCCCTCCAATATAACCCATTCATGCAAGACCCTAAAATAGCTCCCCACTCTACACGCGATCAGACCGCCCCCAGACCCAACATCCCCTGCCATGTGGTTCCTCCCCTGTGATTCTTCAGCGCTTAGCCAGGCGGCGCTAGGCTTCTCCCCAGCGAAGTGGCGCTAGGTTTCTCCCCAGCGAAGTGGTGCTAGGCTTCTCCCCAGGGAAGCAGTGCTAGGCTTCTCCCCAGGGAAGCAGTGCTAGGCTTCTCCCCAGGGAAGCAGTGCTAGGTTTCTCCCCCAGGGAAGCGGTGCGCTAGGCTTCTTCCCAGCAAAGCGGCGCTAGGCTTCTCCCCAGCGAAGCTGTGCTAGGTTTTTCCCCATCGAAGCGGTGCTAGGTTTCTCCCCAGCGAAGCTGTGTTAGGCTTCTCCCCAGCGAAGTGGTGCTAGGCTTTTCCCCAACGAAGTGGCGCTAGGCTTCTCCCCAGCGAGGAGCGAGGCGGCGCTAGGCTCCTCACCGCCACTTGATAATATGCGTCAAACGCCGCCCGCGTTTTCAATGCAAAAAATGTAACAATTTCTCTGGTATATTTATATATTTACCTTAAAAAATGTCTGCCGATTTCAACCAATTTTTTTTTTTTTTTGGGTAGCATTTGTTAGCAAAGAGACTTTTATTAAATATAATATTCTTAATAGTATGTTTTAAAGTAAGATTTCCTTCATATATGTCACACAGATTTATAAGGTTGAAGAAGCTCGAA